TATTTAAAATCAGAAGTAATATATATAATTATTGTTTGTGTTAAAAGTTAAGATGATAAATTGTAATTATTTAATGGGAAATAAACTTTGAACCTGTTTGAACCTTTCAGTGACGTGAAATTAATTATTCCTTAATATGTACCACGAAGTGACGATGATTATCAATATTTAAACAACGAAAAAAATATTTATCATCATCCTTTAATTTACGTAAAGTTAAGGTCATTGGGATGGTAATCGGCCGATCGTGGCGCTGTGCCCCGATATGTTTCTTTTCCGCGATTATTGCTGCGCTAGTTGTACGAGTGTAATTACTATCAAAATTTTGGCAGTCCAAGTTGCGGTAAAGATTCGCATTATTGAAATGCTGCCGACGGCGAAATTTCATTAAAGAACAGTTTGTAACGCGGCTCGTGATCGAATAAACCGAATCGAATTCCGTGTCGTCTGCTCTGACGGAACTTCGTAATTTTTGTTTCTTTTCGTTTCATTATAGCGTAGAATATTGGAACGATAAACGACAACTGTAACCGGCTGTGAAAAAACACTTCGATCATGGCTAGTGTTTCTTACCAAATAGCAAACTTGCTGGAAAAGGTATTTAAGTGCACCACGTTCCACGATTATTAATATTCACTCCGTAACATTCGCTCCAGGATATTTCTTAAAACGTTAAGAGATGACGACCCGGTGATAATATCGAACTTCCTATTAACCTCTCATTGCTCTTTAAAAGACACATTGTAACTTCCGTAAGAAGTTTCCTAAAACCCTTTGTTATGAGCAATGGTCCTGTATTTTTCAAAGACAATTTACTCGTCCCAAAACTCCATAAGAATATTATAATATATTGTAGATTTTGTAATAAAGCAGTTTACACCTTGCACTGCATTTATTTTTATACATGACAAGTCTTTCTCATCTGTTTAACGACGACTTTAATTATGTATTCTTTATTTAAAAATCATATGTAACACATTTTATGATCTTAGATGACATCCACAGACAAGGATTTTAGATTTATGGCAACCAATGATTTGATGAGCGAACTACAGAAGGATAATATCAAGCTGGACGATGATTCTGAGCGTAAAGTCGTTAAAATGCTTTTAAAGTTATTGGAAGACAAAAATGGAGAAGTACAAAATCTTGCTGTAAAATGGTACAGTTATATCTGGATTAAATAATAAATCTTCATCTCGTCTAGCAGATTTCCGAACAATCTTTTTTCATTACTTCGTATCCTAGTCGGTCTGTTCTGTTTGAAAGTTGTCTAAGTTCTTTGCCTGCTCGAGCTCGTATTACTTTTGCAAGGTTTTCTTTGTATTTGGACACGATTACAGAAACGTGTCCAATTTCAGTTTGGGCCCATTAGTGAATAAAGTGAAGGAGTACCAGGTGGAAACGATTGTAGACGCCCTGTGCATCAACATGGTATCAGATAAGGAACAGTTAAGGGATATTTCAAGTATCGGCTTGAAGACCGTAATATCCGAGCTTCCTTTAGGATCCAGTGCGCTAGTCGCGAACGTTTGTAAACGAATAACTGGCCGACTGAGCAATGCTATAGAGAAAGTAATTATTAACAACGACTGCTGACAATCCATTATCATCCGAAACAGGGAATTAATTGATTCGTATTTAGCAGGAAGACGTGTCTGTACAACTCGAGGCACTGGATATTATGGCTGACCTACTGTCTCGATTTGGTGCTTTATTAATCACGTTCCATTCCACTATTTTGTCTGCGTTATTACCACAACTCTCGTCACCACGTCAAGCAGTTCGGAAGCGTACTATAATAGCTTTGAGTCACCTCTTAACGTCGAGTAACAATTACTTGTACAACAAACTTTTGGATCATCTTTTAGAAGGTCTTTGTACACAAACCGAAAAGAATGTGATACGTACTTATATACAGTGCATTGCTTCCATTTGGTATGTGTTTCTCGGATCAATCTTTCAAATAGATTTTCAGCTATTTATCAATTGTTGTTTTCTTTTCAGCCGTCAAGCGGGGCACAGATTTGGCGAGCAAATAGAGAAAGTCATGCCGTTAATTGTACAATATAGCAACGAGGACGATGACGAATTAAGAGAATATTGTCTACAAGCGTTTGAATCTTTTGTATACAGATGCCCAAAAGAAATTACACCACATATAAACAAAGTGAGCATTCTTCGCCGTTCGAATCTTTGGTCATTTTCAGAAATTGGAATTAAACGTTGTTACCTTCTCAGATCATCGAAATTTGTTTGGCTTATATCACGTATGACCCGAACTACAATTACGATGACGATATGAATGACATGTCCGATGGGGAAGACGTTATGATGGAAGTGGAAGAAGATGGAGAGGAGGACGCGGAGGATGAATACTCGGACGATGACGATATGAGTTGGAAAGTTCGTAGGGCGGCTGCGAAATGCCTTGAAGCTGTTGTATCTAGTAGACGAGAGCTTCTGCCCGAACTTTATAAAGTCGTTTCCCCAGCTTTGATCGCAAGATTTAAAGGTATCTTTCGCGAGCAACAGAAACACAAAGAAAACTGTTCTCGTAATAAAACGTGCACGTATTTTTATAGAAAGGGAGGAAAACGTAAAGTCAGATATTTTCCACGCGTACATCGCCCTTCTGAGGCAAACAAGACCAGCGTCTGGTGTAGCCCTCGATCCCGACGCGATGGAGGACGATGACGGGCCGATCGCGTTGCTTCAGCAACAAGTCCCGTTGATCGTAAAAGCCGTTCATCGTCAGATGAAAGAGAAGAGCATAAAGACCAGACAGGATTGTTTCTCGCTGTTGAAGGAATTAGTACTCGTGCTGCCAGGTGCTTTGAGCAATCATATACCAGCGTTAATACCTGGTATACAATATTCTCTGGGGGAGAAGAATTCCTCGTCGAACATGAAGATCGACACGTTGGCTTTTGTACATACGTTGTTAATAACCCATCAACCTGACGCGTTCCACGCACATATGGCGGTGTTGGCGCCTCCGATTATCGCCTCTGTCAGTGACCCGTTTTACAAAATCACGGCCGAAGCGTTGCTGGTCTTGCAGCAACTTGTACAAGTCATCAGACCTCACGGTAAGTGAAAATAATATTTCGCCAAACCGTAGGGAATAAATGAAAGCTGTCTGGTTTCAGAGAAAACGTGTTACTTCGATTTCACGTCGTTGTCTGGAGAGATTTATCGTTGTACGTTAATGAGATTGAAAACGGCGGACATCGATCAGGAAGTGAAGGAGAGAGCAATCGCTTGCATGGGTCAGATTCTCGCGCATTTCGGTGACACTTTATCGGATGAGTTGCACGTATGCCTTCCTATATTCTTAGACAGGCTCCGTAATGAAATTACGCGACTTACTACAGTGAAAGCTTTAACGTGTATAGCATCGTCTCCTTTGAGAGTAGATCTCAATCAAATTATGGTACGTATTCGTGTTCCGTGTTACAAACTTATGTTAACGTCGTGCTACTTTTTGTAGGAAGAAGCAATTCCGATTCTTGGGTCCTTCTTAAGAAAAAATCAACGAGCCTTGAAATTATGCTCTCTTCCACTTTTGGACACTCTCGTTCGAAATTATAGTTCTACTCTTCATGCAGATTTGTTAGATAAGGTAAAGTAATTATAAAACGGTAATTGGTGTCTGTGTTGACTTTCAATATTTAAAAATGTTCCATTAGGTTACCACGGAATTACCAGCGTTATTAAATGAGGCTGATTTACATATCGCGCAATTAACTCTTAATCTTCTAACGACCATAGCAAAACTGCATCCGGTCGCGCTTACTAGGGTTGCCGACAACATCCTTCCAGAGATACTAGTTTTGGTGAAGTCTCCACTTCTTCAAGGTAGTTACTGCGTTTAAAACAATGCATAATAAGATTCCTAATTATCACTGGTATTTATTTGTGTCAGGAGTGGCTTTGAACTCGATGCTAGACTTTTTCCAAGCCTTGGTACAGGCAGATATACCAGACCTCGGATACAGAGAATTGCTGTCGATGCTTTTGGCTCCGGTCAACCAGTCTGTACTTCACAAACAAGCTTATCATTCCCTGGCCAAGTGTGCAGCCGCGTTGACGATCACTTGGCATGATGAAGCCCAGGCAGTGGTCGAACAATTTTTGAGAGACGTTCAGGACCCTCAGAGCGACGCGCAACACATTTTCGCATTGCTGGTCATCGGTGAAATAGGCAGACACGTGTAAGTTCATACCTTTTACATCGTTCCATCGATTATTTCAATTGATCAATTTTAATCTAGAGATCTGAGCGGTATCGCGTCTCTAAAGCATATAATTCTAAACTCGTTTTCCTGCCACTCGGAGGAAGTGAAATCGGCGGCTAGTTACACGTTAGGTAACATAGCTGTTGGAAACCTACCGGAGTACTTGCCGTTTATATTGAAAGAGATCGAAGCGCAGCCGAAGCGTCAATATCTTCTCTTACACTCGTTAAAAGAGGTGAATTTCATAAGATATCGCTGAAACTGAACTGACGGCCATCGAATACGGTGAATACTTGGATCTTAATTACAGATTATCACGTGTCAGTCAGCTAGTCCGTCTGGTGTTTCTCACTTGCAAAATTTCGTGCCTTCGATCTGGATGCTTTTGTACAGGCACTGCGAATGCACGGAGGAAGGCACGCGTAACGTCGTGGCCGAGTGTCTAGGTAAACTCACTCTAATAGATCCGGTCACTTTGTTACCCAGATTGCAGGAGTCATTAAAATCACTGTCTCCGCTTATGAGAACCACAACAGTCACCGCTGTTAAATTCACCATTTCCGATCAGGTATCTCTATTCTTCATTATTATCATTATTACAGATTGAATCATACGATTTTTATTCTTTTACAGCCACAACAAATCGATGCTATGTTAAAAAATTGCATGGGCAATTTCTTAGTCGCTCTAGAGGATCCTGATTTGAACGTGAGGAGGGTAGCTTTAGTTGCATTTAACTCGGCGGCACACAATAAACCGATGCTCATAAGAGACTTGTTAGATTCCGTGTTGCCACATCTTTATACCGAAACTAAGATAAAGGTAATTTATAAGTTCTATTCGACGGCAGGGTATCATTTATCTCATTAATTATACGTTTCATTGATGATTCATGTGTAGAAAGAACTGATAAGAGAGGTCGAGATGGGTCCCTTCAAACACACGGTAGACGATGGCTTAGATCTCAGAAAAGCTGCATTCGAATGCATGTACACGTTGCTCGATTCTTGTCTCGATCGACTCGACGTATTCGAATTTTTGAACCACGTCGAGAACGGTCTCAGAGATCACTATGATATTAAGATGCTAACTTATTTAATGACCGCCAGACTGGCTCAGTTATGTCCGACAGCAGTCTTGCAGAGTGAGTATAAAATGCGTGAATTAATTCCCGACGTTTATCATTGAATCGCTCGATTGTCTTCAGGGTTGGAACGACTGGTGGAACCGTTGAAGAGCACTTGTACAATGAAAGTAAAAGCTAATTCGGTGAAACAGGAGTACGAGAAACAGGACGAACTTAAACGTTCGGCATTGAGAGCTGTGGCAGCGTTGTTAACTATCCCAGATGCAGGTAAACGATATAAACAATTTTCAATACACGTCGATATTAATATTACTATTGCACATTTAAATGTATTATTTTACAGACAAAAATCCATCGTTAAGCGAATTCGTGACGCAGATCAAATCAACGCCCGAACTCCAACCACTTTTCGAGATGATTCAGAAGGATTGTAACGGGAGTAACATGAACGAAACCAACGTGATGGATCAGAGCTAAAATGTCTACGACTTACTTTTGTATTTCACCGAAAATCGCTGTTAGCTAAGCATCCACGGTCATATTACTCATAGTTTATTTCTATACGTTATTTTTTCATTATTATCTTCGATCTGAACTGTAGTTTGAAATGAATGTGATCATGTAACACGTCATGTATAAATTATAAAATAAATTTGCCAATTGTAAGCATCTTACAGTAACGTACCGGTTACCCTTTTAGTAATAAATTATACCGGAAACGAGTTCTAGCTCTAATTTTACCTACCTTCTCTTTTAGACAAGTAGAAGATGCTCTAGCGGTATCTTGTTTTATTTTATAAATCAACAATGATTCCAAGCAATGCTTCTTATAAAATAATTATTATATTTATACAAATGTTTTCTGGTTGTACGCATCGACCGAAGAACATGCGATCCATCATTTCACGCCTGCAGATACATAATACGCGTTCCATTTGCTGACCCACATATTGGAATCATCAATAAATTTATTAGCAAGGCTAACTTCCACTTTCCCTCCAAACAAACCGATGGACCATCTGCTAGCTGCACTGTTTTATTTCACCCAATTAAAACTACGTTTATCTCAATCTACATACTGGCTACGCGCGTGACTCTATAAAAAGATTGCCTCTACTTTGCATAGGTATCCTTCGTATCGAAACTCATTCTTAATTCGGAATGTTATATTTCGAACGAGACTGTACCATCGCGTATCGGATCTAAAAATCAGCGGAGTCGAACTGGTTTTTATGTTTCTCGCCCACGGGGATTTCCTTCGCACCTATACTGTTAGAAACCACCGTAGATTCTTGTACCAGTCCAAACTCAACGAGATCTTATAAATTCAAGAAAATCATTTTCGTAATATTCTCTTCGCTTTCGATTCGCCATTTGAATCAGCGCATTGCTAAGTGTTTGATAAAAGCGTCTTGGATCATTGATTATTGAACCATTTAGCGTGAGGAACTGGGTTTGTTTCTCTTTACGAGCTCGTGATCATCCTCCGCAGTCCTTCACCTAATTCTGAAAAACCTGACTTTAATCACGTTTCGCACTCAAAACCTTTCTATTTCCCATAACTCCAAATTCGAGATTTAATACATCTAACGAATATCTCTCATAATTAATAAAATATTAAAATCAAACTAGAACAATTCTAATTATCTTGTATATGAAGTTACAAATTATTCAGAAATTGAAACTAGGCCAAATATTCGCTACGTGATTCCCCGAATCGTCAGATACGAAACGTTCAAACGCTGCAAGGAATCACGTAGACAGACACCATACGCCGAACCGCTTTTAACTTCTAACGATGTTCAACGTGTTCCACTGCTGTGACTATGGAACACGGACAGATCGACGGCTGCCCATTAATTACATTTATATCTTTCCTCGAAGCGTTACATGCTCCACGCTAGACAACTTTTTCTTCTCACATACCGATTCTTTGTTCTCGCGTAAGTTACTGACCGTTACATCATTCATAGTTGTCTCCCCCTAAACGCTTTCGAATTTAGAAATTTCGTAATCTTCAAGTTTAATTAAAAACAGGACCAGTCACTTTTCTTAGAATTCTAATTCGATGTTCTATACTAATAAAATTGCAAAGCCAATTTGTTTGGCACTTTTAATCGTTCTACAATAATTATTCGACTGCTTGTTCGATCACTTGTAATAAATAAAAAGGAGAATATCTTTATACTGATAAACGGATATAAAGAAGTATTAATCGCTACTCGAATGATAAATATAAAAAATTAAACATTGTAGGACAGATAATAGCAATCTGTAAAGGGAATTTCCGTTTTAAACATTAGCACATTTTTACTATTGACAATGTTTGTTACCGCAATCATATATCCTACGATTCATCGTTTCTTTATACCGAATCTACAATTTGGTTTATTCCCCTACTTCGTGGGTTTTTAAAATGACGTGAACTGATCCCGACTGCTTTTGACACATTCTGTCGTATTCTTAAAAAACTACGAAATTATTTACGAGAAAAGTGATTTACTCTTACTCGGCCTTGGTAATTGCCGCACTTTCGATACTTCTCTTTTCGCGTAAATCACGGGATGGACATTTCGTATTGTAAGAGCAAATAAATCCAATGAGTCCTGACGATCAGGGCGCCAGGTATAATTCGAGCATTGTAATTAAAATGATGGCATTTTTACACCCTGGCAGATCAGTGAACTCATCAATCGTAAATTTAAGATTTCTTATACGGCAAACTCTTCTGATTACTCGATCCCACGATTGGTTCATCGGCGATCACTGGTGGGGAAGTATAAAACGGGGTTACATCCACGGAGCAGCGCACTGTGCGACAGTACAAGTCCGCGCTCGCGTCTGATTCCATTGTGCTTTTCAAAATTATCTACGAATTATCACGTCAAATTGTAAGATCGCCTTGTGCGTAATCATTAGATCAGATTGGGCACGTTTCGTAGCTCTATTCGCTTCCTTTTTGTCACACACGCGTTTAACAGCCGGTTGTCAGAGCCATGTGTGTACGTACGGTGGTAGGTAACGAGAGCAACGAGCCGGTAGTGGTATACAGTAATCAGACGAACAAGCTTCAAAAAGCGAAGGAAAAATACATGAAGCTGCACGACGACATGGTGACCAAAGAGTTGGAGATCATCAAAAAGCGAAAGAACGAATCGGTTTTTATCCCAGAACTGGCTGATGACATCCTGAGGGCTAGCACCATTAACTACAGCTCGCTTTTGAACACTTCGGCCAAGTACTACGAGGTGGTGCAGCAGACAAAGCTGTTCAAGTAAGTCACTTCCTCGCACGTTTACAGATTGAATCTTTAATCCGATTGAACACCGATTAACGTTTGGTTCTCGATTCGGATTTTATTAATTCAAAATTGCAATTATTTAATTGAAAAATCTACGATCCCGCTCTCTCGTTATTCTTTTATTGCGACGACGAATGGGACGTTACTCCACCTGTTGATTAGCTTTAATCGCTGACCACAGAAATGTAGTTCGAAACGAATTACAACACCTGTTGTACTTCAACAAGTGTTCGTTTCACGCGAAACTTTATCCTCCTGGAATTCGCGCAAATACTTAAGATTTTCTTAAGTGAAAGCTGCCAGTTCGCTATCTTCGTATACAAATTACCCGTAGTCGATGGAATCTTTTTCGTTTCTCAGTAGAAAACCGTTTTTTTTTAGCTGTCTGCATCAAGATATATGCATAACTAGTTAGCAACGCGAAATCTTACTTAGATCGTCTTAAATAATAGTATCGTTCGCCAGATTGGAATATCTTTCAATAATTCTACATCCGTGGTGCGAATGGAATGTAAGACAGTACAAATATTGAATAAACTGTAAAATCGTAACTGTGAATTTACTCCATTCAGATGTAATCTCGAACATTTAACAGGTGATAATTACGCAGCTCGTTGATAATATGAACATCATACGTAACGAGATAAAATTATTTTTATCATATTAGATCTAGTCACCAACTAAGATTTCTGTACCTATTAAAAACGTCACAGGAACATCGATCTGAAAAGCTTCCGTTAGATAGACGTTCCATTTCTCAAAATCGTGTCACCGTATCATAGATAACGATCGAAGATAGTTTCCACCTCCCGCCTGGTCGCAATACTCGTGAATTAATGTAAGTCACGTGATGAACTTTTTATATCGCATTATCGAAACTTCCAAGGCAAATCGTGTGAGCTGTATCCCGTATCATCCACGCCGTAATGCAAATAAAACACTTTGATTTTCTACCGATAACACGTACCACGTTCTGAATTCATGATTTCAATTTCATAAACGATTGTTCCTTGAATTTATGTTAACTGTCTGGAACGATATGCCACGTCCTCGTAAAAAGAAATGCAATGGGATTATGAATGCAGCTCCTAAGATCCTTGGACGAGACGGACAAACGGTACAGTTGAATAATTCAAGCCTCGGTTATCATTGTAACATAACGACAAGGGTAAAAAAAACGAGACTCTAAAACGGAACTTAAAGGCTCGTTACACTCGTCCAACATGCTACGTGACTACACGAGCAAGTAGAAATGGCACCGAATAGCCTACATGATACGGTTCGTACTTGACCCGCGGCAAGAGCAAATCTTGTCAAACATAAAGCAGATAAATACGATCGTTTAAAAGTTTAATTAATAATCGTAAAGTAGAATATGAAACGAGATCCGCGTTCTTTTCAGAGATTTTATAATCTAGATTAGTTCTCGCAAATAAGACGGAAATTCGGTAGACGTGTTTGCTCGCTAAACATTAGAAGCTCTTGAATCATCTCTGTCGCTTATCCATCACTGACGATATTTATTGATCCAAGCTTGCTCTTTGATCCCCGATTCGCGCGGTCGAAATTAATCCTGATTATTAATCCTCCGTTCGTATATTGCCTCGAGTTACGTTTATTTTCAAACCGATTGAACACGCAAAGGATAATAGGCCATTGAACATTGATATACGAACGTGTATTTGCAGAGTTCGATGGACAGGTCAGTTAGGATCCCAAATAAAGATTTACTTTCGACTTTCTTGGGTGTGCGCGACGCTATTTGCGTTCGGCTTTTAAAAGTGCATTCACTTCCAGCTAAAATTAGTCGAGGTAAATAATAATTGCGGGATTCACGACATGCCAACTACGTGGAATGCAGTTGTGTCTCGCGGTGGGAAAAAAAAAGGTGAGCTATGACACACGGATTTACCGTACAGTCGTGAATCACGCATAATCGTGACAATTTACATAAAAAGAATTTGATAACGGACAGACATAGAGATATATTGTATGTACGTTTAAATACACTTTGCACCTGCTTTATCACGTTCAGTCTCGTACTGCGACTCCCTTTTTTAAGTAGGACGAGCTTGGCGAAGAGTATTTTCAGAATTGTTTAAGACACGAAACACGTTGTCGTTTTGGCTGGTTATCAAGTTTGAAAATACAGCTTTTCGAATAATAACAAAAAATGCAGTCGACGTGAACGAGATTCTTACGTGTCGTTCATCCTCGTAACTGGGAAACCAGTTCGGGGGCTCGGTTTTTGCTGTACAAATCGGGCGATTTAATGATTACGATACACGAAAAACTCGAGAGGAAGCGATTTTTATGTACTCTTGTATTACAATATTACGGTAGAGCAGTAACGCAACGTAACACGATACTTCTTTCATCGTTGACGCTCGTGCCTGACGAGTATACTGTTGAACGAAAGTGTGGAATGAGAAAACAAAAGAAAAGAGTGGGTGAAGGGTGTGTGTATTTCGCTTGGGACTCGCTAATGGTCGAGTTTCAAAGGCCAGCGCTTTAACTAGGGACGAATCGAACGAGTTTTATAAGACAGGAACGCAAACAGCGAATCAACAGGAATTAATAAAAAGTGTCAACGTCGTTAATGAATAACAAGATACGTCAATCATACGGGCGATGCCATTGATTCATGAAGAAATACCGGAATTATTCATGAAAGTCCCCGGAGCCGTAAAACTTTTTTGTCCTCAGGATCGCCGTTTCGCAAGAAAAGGCAGGTAGTTGCCGAAGAATTTTAATGACCGAAATCCCTTCGGCGCATCTGGCCGGTGGCTGGCGCACGGTCAAGAGACACATCTTTAAATTTACTAGAAGAGATGAAAGCGAAAGCTGCAATAACGGTGAACGTTACTCTCGTTCATACGTCCCGTTCTAAAATCGTTCCCGTGAAATATGAATGGCTTTGTCAAGCTCCGGCAAGTGCCAAGCTGATTGTTTGCGCGGTCGACGAAGTCCCGCGTCAGCTTGTTAAGAATATGCGACCGTAAAGCACTTTCAATTTCAAAGTGTGTCTTATACGATTCGGCGAGTTATTCACCTCGTCGATAACGCGACACCCGGCCTGTCGAGTCTTGAAATTGAAGTGGCCGATCATGCGACCGCTGATTTCAATGCTGGCGCATAAGTGCCGGAGGTATTGTTTGATCAGCGTACAAATCAGGATATTGCGAAGCAACGCATGCATACGCGGGCGGGTGAACACGAGCGCATGCAATCCGGGCGAGCGATGGGTTGCGTGCCATCTCGCACGTTTCCCGCTCGCCTCTTGATAACTGGCTCATAATACCATCGCGCCTATTCTATACCTGCTTTGGAACACCAACGCAGCGGACAACAGGTCGATCGTAAACCTGAAGCTGCACGTTGCCGCGTTGTATTACTTCTATAGCTGTCCCTTTTCTTTCGCTCGGCGGTAGATAAAAAAGGACCGGAATCGCTGAATCGAAGGCACGTTTAAGAGAGTTCAGCATTTTTCGTGCCGGGTTTGAACGAGGAAATAATCTATTTATGTCACGGTATATACATGGGGAGAAATTCGTTGGAGGGAATGAAAAACGATTCTAATTGGTATTAATTGATACCAGCGAGAATGGACGATGTGAACCGTGATTCTAAACGATTGATCTATCTGTGTAATCAGGAAACATGCGGGATAACGTTTCTTATCGCTTGAATGAAAGCGATATTAATATTCACATCTCTTTATTATAATATATAGAAATCTAATTGACTTTAGGAAATACAAGCCTAAAAAGTCTGGAATTTTTAACGCCTTCTAGAAT